TGGCCGTGGTGCAGAGCCTTGGCCAGAGCCTCCCAGAGCCCTTGGAAATGTTGGCTCAGGCAATTGTAGAGCTGAAGCTGAGGTATATAGGGAGGAAGTAGTCCCCATTTGCTCTACCCTCCCCCCTGCCACCAGGGTGTCCCCTTTCATCCACTGCAGATGTGCTGTATGTATTGCCACATATCACTGCTATAAGAATTAAGCCCTGGATTCATGATTCTACTGGGAGGAAACAACAGGAACTTCATGTCTCCTGTCTCCTGGATGCTGTCTATATGCCTTTCACCTTTGCAGATTTTAATCTGTGTATAAACCATACAATAAACCGTGAATATAGACCATGCAATAGACCACTCTGAGTACTGTGAGGCCTTCTAGTGAACCATGAAAGCTGAAAGTGCCCTTCAGTTACAGTTCCCAACCCCTGGGTTATAGACCATTACCAGTTGGTACCCTGTTAGGAACTGGCCACACAGCAGGAGGTAAGCAGCAGGCAAGAGTGAAGCTTCATCTGTATTTATAGCCATTCCCCATCAATCACTTCATCACTCGGGCTTTGCCTCCTGTTAGACCAGCAACAGTGTTAGATTCTCATAGGAATGCTAACCCTACTGTAAACTGTGCATGTAGGGATCTAGGCTGCAGCTCCTTATGAGAATCTAAGGCCTGATAATCTGAGGTGGAGCTGAGGCAGTGAGGTTGGTGCTGGGGAGGGGCTACAAATACAGATTATCATTAGCAGAGAGGTTTAACTGCACAGACTCTATAATAAATACAATTTATTATATATGCAGATTTGTATCAAAACCACCCCATCTCCCTGGCTGTGGAAACATTCTTTTTCATGAAACTGATCTCTAGTGCCAAAGAGGTTGGGGACTGCTGGTCTTGGGGATCTCCAAGCACACAGGTTTACAGAGATGAAAGCATCCCTCCACCCTGGCAAATGGACTTTTGAGAGTAGAGATGCCCAAACCTGTTGAGTGTTTCTTACCTTTTAAGAAGGGAAGAAGCTTCTGGCCACTCCTGATAACTTATCCAACTTTCTTTTACCACCCTTGAGCTGTTCAGGGCTGCAGCATGATCTTGGGTAAGTCCATCCCACGGTGGCTCACACCTGTAATCCCAGCCCTTGAGGCCAGGAGTTTGAGATCAGCCTAAGAGTGAAACTCCATATCTACAAAAAATGGAAAAATTAGCTGGGCATGGTGGGACAAGCCTGTAGTCCCAGCTACTTGGTAGCCTGAGGCAGGAAGATTGCTTGAGCCCAGGAGCTCGAGGTTACTGTGAGCTATGAGAGCACCACTGCACTTTAGGTAGCTGAGGTGACAGAGCTAGGCCCTTTCTCAAAAAAAATAAAAAGGTTCAAAACAAAAAGATGATATTTTGTGACATGTCATGTGATAAAGAAATTTAAGATTCAACTTTTATAAATAAAGTCTTACTGGCACATAGGCAGGTCCAGTTCCTTGATGTGTCATCTGTGTCTGCTTTCACGTTGCAACAACAGAGACTGTGTACTCCATAATAATGACAATATTTACTCTCTGGTCCTTGATGACTTCTCATCTGGGTCATGGCTTGCAAGCCGATTTGTTCTGAAGTACAGGCCTTTCCCATCCTGGTACTTAAATAAACCTTGTCATGTTTCCCTCTGTTTTGTGGACCTACCCATCCCGGTGGAGAGGGCTGCCCCCTGCATGCCCAACTCCCCCATTACTCTGGGCTCACCATCATTTCTCTGAACAACCCAGGCTCTTTTTTGCCACCATGGAAACTTTGCACATGCTGTTCCTTCCCAGGGGGAGATTACATGTGAAGCTTACGGAATTGGGCCAGTTCTCAGATATTTATAGAAAACATGTCTCTGACAAGACCAAAAAAAAAAAAAAAAAAAGCTCTATTTTGAACGGCACTGTCGCCACCTGGTGACCACTCCCTCTAACTGTAGTTTCAATTCTTTCAAAGGTTTCGGATTTTAGACTGTTCCCTCTAGGCAGGACCAGGGCCTAGAGAACCATCCAGGATCTGGTTCTCCTGTATTTCTGACCCTGAACCCTATTTGGATGCTCAGTTTTGTGCATATAGCTCTGTGACGCTGAAACCTTATTCGATTGAAAAAAATCTTCAGAGATGTGGTTATCACTATATTGCCTGGACTCCTGTGCTCAAGAGATCCTCCCGCCTCAGCCTCTGAGTAGCTGGGACTACAGGTGTGCCAGCACGCGGAGCTCCTGTGATGCTCAGCTTTGAGGATCATATGAGTGTCCTGCAAATGTTGATGAAATTATGACCTATTGGTCTGGGGTAGAGGGAGTCTTAGCCTTCATTTCTAATAAGCACCCACGAAGATGCTTCTGGTTCATGGACCACTTTAAGTACCAAGCTCTACTTTTTCTGTAGAAAAGAGGTCAGCAAATTTCTTTGGTAAAGTTAGTAAATATTTTGGACTGTGAGTGCCATATGGTGTCTGTGGAGACTACTCTGGGCCTGAAGTGTGAAAGCAGCAACAGATGATATGTAAATGATGGGCACAACTATGTTCCAGGAACACTTTATTTATGGGCTTTAGAATTAGAATGTTTTTAAAATTAATTTTTTTATCTTCTAAAATTTCAGAATATTAGGAGGTACACATGCTTTGTTTACATACTTTGTTTTTGTAGAGATTGAGTCAAAGCTTTATACTTAAGTGTGCTCTTTGCCCAAATAGTGTGCACGGTGCCCAATAGGTGTGAATTTATTCATCCTCCCCTTTCTCCCTCCCCCCAGCTTGATTTTCGTTGAGATTTATTTTCATGTGTGCACTTAAGTGTTATTCTTTTAGTTCCAATTTGGCATTGAGTATATGTGTTTATTTCTCCATTCTCATGATGTTTCACTTAAAAGAATGGTTTCTAATTCCCTCCAGGTTGTCCAAAAAGAGACTTGATTGCCATTTGTTTATGGCTGAGCAGTACTTCATGTATGCACGTACCACATTTTATTACTCCATTCGTGTATTGGTGCACTTGGGTTGTTTGCACATCTTTTCGACTATGAATTGTGTGCAGCTATAAACATTGGAGTGCTGGTGTCGTTTTTATAGAATGACCTTTCTCTTTTGGGTATATACCCAGCAGTGGGATTGCTGGATCAAATGGTAGGTGTACTTTAAGTTCTTTGAGGCATCACCATACAATTTTCTGTAGAGGTTGTAGTAGTTTGCAGTCCCACCAACAGTGTATAAGAGTTCCTTTTTCTATGCACTCATGCCAGCATTTGTTTGTTTGTTTGTTTTTTTGAGGCAGAGTCTCACTTGTAAGGCACTTGGCCTGGCCTAGAATTAGAATTTTATATATTTTAAACCTGTCATGTGATATGCTTTTTCTTTTAGTTATCTTAGCCTATTAAAAATGTTAAAATTTCTTAGCTTACAGTCCATATAAAATAATTGTGGGCTGGATTTTCCCTCTAAGCCATAGTCTGGAGAGCCCTGCTTAAAACTATGGTGTCCTCATCAAGATCTGTGGCTCTGGGACGGCTCCTCGGAACCTTGCCAAACAGCTTCACTGGCAGCTTCACTTTTCAAGCCTCAGTTTCCTCATCTGTAGAAAAAGGGGCTATAATGCCTACTTTGTAGGGATGTTATTTAAGATTTAATGAGGCTGGGCACAGTGACTGATGCCTGTAATACTAGCACCCTGGGAGGCAGAGGCAGAAAGATTGCTTGATGCCAGGAGTTTGAGGTCAGCACGAGGGCAACATAGCAAGACCCTGTCTCTACAAAAAAATACTTAGAAACATTAACCAGGCGTGGTGGCTGTATGGTGTCAGTATTTGCGCAGGCAGATCCCTTTAGCCCCAGAGTTTAAGGCTGCAGTGATCACTTCCATTGCACTGCAGCCTGGGTGACAGAGCAAGAGCCTGTCTCTAAAAAAAACAAAAAGTAGATCCCAGGGCCCAATGCCAGGTCCACTGAATCAGAATCTCCATGAACCAAGTGGCAGCATATTTTATACATATAAACCAAGGAAGGAGGAACGGGAAACCTGTTGATGACAGCAATTCCCACCCAAAACCACAGCCACAAGAAGAGGTTTCAAAACTTACTGACAGTCTGAGGCTGGTGGATGCTTACAAGAATGGGAAGTGAGCTAATCTCAGCAGACCTTTCTGAAGTTCTTCCTCAACAAATACCATGATGCAACTGGCTAATACATGCACTGTCTTTGTCAATATTAAAGTGAGTATGTAGCCACAGCTTTGGTTCGACTAGTATGATCCCCATAGTATCCTAAAAGCCTGATGTTCAGGAAAAGGCTTATTTAAGGCTGCTTTGATGTCTTTCCTGCTACTCTGATCTGCATGGGGGACATAGATTGAGGAAAATATGCACACTTGTCTTCTGGGTGCCCATAGTACTTCATTCATCTTTCTCTCTTTTTAAAAGAAAGTCTTGCTCTGTTGCCTGGGCTAGAGTGCCGTGAACTCAGCCTAGCTCACAGCAACCTAAAATCCCTAGGCTCAAGCAATCTTTCTGTCTCAGACTCCTGTGTAGTTGGGGCTACAGGCACATGCCACTACACCCAGGTAATTTTTCTATTTTTAATTGAGATGAGATCTTATTCTTGCTCAGGCTGGTCTCAAACATTGAGCTCAAGTGATCCTCCCACTGTGGCCTCCCAGAGTGCTAGATTATAGGTGTGAGCCACTGTGCTCAACCTCTCATTCATCTCTCTCTCTTTTTTTTTTTTGCAGTGTTTGGCCAGGGCTGGGTTTGAACCCACCATCTCCAGCATACGGGGCCAGTGCCTGACTCCTTTGAGCCACAGGCACCACCCTCTCTCATTCATCTCTTTATGACACATTTATCACATTGTATTACAAAGATTTATTTATGAGTATCTATTCCCCACTAGGATGTGAACTCCATAAGGACAAGGGTGAGATGCATCTCTGTGTCCTCAGCAACTAACAGAAGTTCTGGGACATGGGTGGCACCCAATACCTGTGCTGCTTTAGGACCGAGAGAAGGTGGCTTTGTTGGAGAACTTCCTCAGGGCTGCCTTCATTTCCTTGTTCCTTAGGCTGTAGATAAAGGGGTTCAACATGGGAATGACCACTCCACACATCAGGGCAGCTGCCTTGTCTTTCTGGGAGGAGGTGGGGGATGCAGGCTGTAAGTACACAGTGAAGATGGTCCCGTAGAACAATGACACCACAGTGAGGTGTGAACCACACGTGGAGAAGGCTTTCCACTTGCCCTGAGCAGAAGGAATCTTAAGGACCACCCGGAAAATGCAGATGTAAGAGAGGAGGATGCAAGAGAGTGGGCTTATGCCCATGATGATGCCAAACACAAAGATCGCCAGCTCATTGGTGTGCGTTTCCGAGCAGGAGAGCTTCAGCAAGGGCATGAGGTCACAGAAGAAGTGGGAGATTTCAGTTTCAGCACAGAAAGTCAGCTGAGCCATGAGGCAGGTGTGGACAAGAGACTGGAGGTTGGTGATCACCCATGGCACCCCCACCAGCAGCCCACAGACACGGGGGCTCATGAGGACCAAGTATTGCAGTGGGTGGACAATGGCTACATACCGGTCAATGGCCATCACAGCCAAGAGGAAGCTGTCCATGGTCCCGAACAGGTGGAAGGCGTACATCTGGGTAAGGCAGCCTGCAAATGGGATGGCTCTGCTCTGGCTGTGGATGTTCACTAGCATCTTGGGGATGGTGGTGGAGGATAAAAAGACATCGGCGAGTGAGAGGTTGAAGAGGAAGAAGTACATGGGCGTGTGGAGGCGAGAGTCCGTGATGATGGCCAGGATGATGAGGAGGTTCCCAAAGATAGTGACCAGGTACATGGACAGGAACATCCCAAAGAGGAGGCCCTGATGCTCTGGCCTTTCTGAGAGTCCTAGGAGGGTAAATTCTGAGACTGCTGTTTGGTTTTCTGGTTCCATCTGTAGCCTGTGTCTACTGGAAACAAAAAGGGGAGGAAAGCCACAGAAAACTGGGAGTCAGAGATGGGTTTTCAGTCTCAGTTTCCCGCAGAGACTTTTGGTTTTGTGAAAATCTACCAAGTTCTTGTAAACCCATTATAGTTGAACATCCATAGTTGATCAGCTCCCTACATTGACCACCTCCTTAAGTTGACCTAATTTTCATAGACCAGACAGGCACCATACGTGTATATCAGTAAAGCAGGCCTTGTTCCTTATGTTGACCAGCTCTGCATGTTGGCCAGTTTGTTACAGTTTCTGGGGGTTCAACTTATAGAGGATTTTCTTTATTTTATTTTTACCTAGTTAGGGACCCATCTTTTAAAACCAATTGCTGGCTTGGTGCCCATAGCTCAGCAAGTAGGTTGCTGGTCACATACATCAAGGTTGGTGGGTTCAAGCCCAGTGTAGGCTTGCTAAACAACAATAACAACAAATAGCTGGGTGTTGTGACTGGCAGTCCGAATTACTTGGGAGGCTGAGGCAAGAGACTTGCTTAAGTCCTAGAGTTTGAGGTTGCTGTGAGCTTTGATGCCATTGCACTCTACTGAGGGCGACAAGACTCCACTCCAAAAAAACCCCAAAACAAAACAAAAAAGAAAACCAATTACTGACAAGAATATGTGAGAGGAATTTAATGATGTAAAAGCTGATCATATGAACTGGGTCATTACATTTATTTATTTATATATTTAGAGACAGAGTCTCACTTTGTTGCCCTTGGTAGAGTGCCATGGCGTCATAGTTCACAGCAACCTCAAACTCTTGGGCTTAAGTGGATTCTCTTGCCTCAGCCTCCTGAGGAGCTTGGATTACAGGTGCCCGCCACAACGCCTAGGTATTTATTTATTTATTTTTTTGCAGTTTTTGGCTGGGGTTGGGTTTGAACTGGCAACCTCCAGCATATGGGGCCAGAACCTTTGAGCCACAGGCGCCGCCCAATGCCCAGGTATTTTTAGAGATGGGGGTCTTGCTCTTGCTCAGGCTATTCTTGAATAGCTATTGCCATGAGCTCAGGCAATCCACCCACCTCGGCCTCCCAGAGTGTTAGGATTACAGGCGTGAGCCACCGCGCCTGGCTGGTCATTCCTTTTATAAATTTTTAAAAAAATGTTTAAAGTTTAAAAAAAATTTTTCATTTGCATACATTTATGGGGTACATGTGGAATTTTGTTACATGGATAGTGGTGAATTCAGACTTTTAGGGTATCCACCCCCCACGTAACGTACATGGTTATTATGTGAGGCTGGGCAATATGTTTGTGAACTCAGCCTAGAAAAAGTGCTGCACACCTCATTGCTGAATATCACTATAGTCACCTTTGGGGTACTCCCCTGGGAGGCTGTGCTCAATCCCAGTGACTTTTGGAACTCTTTTTTTGGCTGGCTATTGATGCTGGCATCATACGAGGCCTGACAGTTAAGTTCATGAACTCATCCTAGAAAACGTTCTACATACCTCATTGTTGAATATCACTAAGTCACTAGATGGCCCAGGGGAGCACTTCAGAGGTGACTGTGGTGATAATCAGCCGTGAGGTATGTAGCACTTTTTCTAGGATGAGTTCCTGAACGGAACTGTCTGACTTTGTACACTAAGTCATTTCTCATCATCCATTCCCCTCCCATTCCCCACCCTCCTAGTCTCCGCTGTCTATCATTTCACATTCAATGTCTATGTAAACACTTTTTAGCTCCCACTTACTAGTGAGAGCGTGCAGTACCTGTCCTTTTGTTGTTTCACTTAAGATAATGGCCTCCAGTTCTATCCACGTTGTTGCAAAAGACATGATTTCATTTTTTTTTTTTTTCACAGCTGAATAGTGAATTGGGTCATTCTTGTCATATCCAACTAAAACAGGGTCAGAGAAGAAAGCACTCGGGGTACATAAAATTGCTCCAAAAGTGTAAATCTCTGCAAATCCAATGGCTCAAACTGCTTGTTGTAGTCCAAGACCAGTGTTATCTAACAGTTACCAAAACAGCCTGCTGCAACTCTAAGACTAATTTGACTCAAGCACCATGGCTCACCAGTCAGAGCTCCCCAGAACTTTAGTAACATCAGTGAACTTCCTTCCAGGAACACATGCAACATTTCTTTTTCTTGTAAACCCTGAACCTTCTCTTTGTTCTTCAGGCATACCCCAAACCACCTGGTATGCATGTATGCCCCCAATAGCTATCCTTTTATTCCACACAAAACATTAGATTTAGAACCCTGTTTCTACATTTTAATTTTGACTTCAACAGTGGTGATATCTGTAGTAGTTTGGACCTTTACTTAGGAGCTTAGTTCTTCATGTATAGGTCTCACAGCAACTCCCAGAAAAAGATGACGTTAGCTACAATTTACAGTGAGAAGATGAGCTGAGAGAGTTGTTGGGGGCATTCAGTTTGCAAGTGCCTGATGTCTCATGTGAATTTAGATCAATTTTTACTCTCATATTCCACTGGCCGCTCTCACTCCTTTGTGAAGTGAGACATTTCAAAGCTAAACTGTGCTGTCAATGTGTGCAAGGGGACAAAAATTCAATTACATGTGTTTGAAATTCTTACCTTCCTGAAAGGAGTATTAGTCTTCAGAAAGATTTAAGATTTGCTGAAGTGAGATCAGGATGTAAGTGGGAGAAGGTAATACATATAGATCTGTATAAGAAAGGAGATGGATGATCCCAAGGCATTGTGAGAGTGAGGGAGAGATTAAGCAGCTGCTATGAAGAGCAGGACCCTCAGAAGGTGGAAGAGATTATGAAAGGGAGTTTTTAGGAAGTATAATCTCCTTTTTGGTAATCCCAAAACGGCTCCAGCAAAGCCCTATGTTACTTCAAGACTTTAAGAGTTGGGTTTGAGGTTTTTGTAATGCAATACTTAGATTTCTCCCGGCTGTGACTGTAGACTGCTGTGATTTCCTCCCTGGCAACATTTTTGCAACAGTCTTCAGTAGTTGACTTGGTTTGCACTAGAGCAACATTTCTCAACCTTGAACTAGCATCAGAGTCACCTGGAGGGTTTGTGAGAACAGAGACAGCTGGGTTGTCCCCTTTTCCCCCTCACCTGAAGTGTCTGGAGAGGGGCTGGAGAATCAGTACTTCTAGAAAGTTTCCAGGAGATTCTGGTGCTGCAGACCCATGGACCACACTGGGAGAACCATTGTATTAAAGAAACCTATTTTTCAGTGTCTGTACTATTTGTGCAGGTGTTACCCAACTGGAGACTAGTCTAAATGCTTTTCCTCTACATGTCTTGCCACAGAGGGTCTTCCCTTTGTGCACTTTGTCCACTCAAAGAATTTAGAATTGATCTCAGGCCCCCTCCCCGCCTCTCTCTCTCTCCATCCAAGAAGGAAATGGATTCCTCTCCCCCATCTCCCTACCTCTACTCTCAGCTCAATCCCTTCCCCATCTCTCACTCTCACACCAGGATAGCATTACCCAGGGTCAGGTTTCAACAAGGCTCCTTCTTCACTGCCCTGCAGAGGATCCTGAGGTCAGCACTAAGCCCCCAGGAAGGGCACAGGAGACCCCTCAACTGTGATGGCTGGGAGGGACTCTCACATCTCCTCCCCAGCCTGGGGCAGGTGAGTTGGGAGGGACCAGGGCACAGCAGGATATTTGTAGTTTGGGGACTCTGAGACACTCCATCCCCACAGCTCTTCATTAAAGAGGAAGATGCTAATTATTTTGTTTCTACCCTTTGCCACATGAGACCTGTTTTTTGGGTGAGGAGGTGTGCTTTGGGATCACGGGGCAGGTAAGGAGATAGAGCAGCCACTGGGGATTTACTCTCACTGGGACACCTCCTTTCTGTCCCCTTTGAGCCCAGACTGAACCGCGTGGCATTTCCCAGGCTGGGAGCTGTGGTGATCCCAGTCCTTGATAGGGCACTCGGATGCCTGAATCTTAGCTTCCCTCTTGTTCATTCTATCCATGACGAAAACTGGTTCATTAAAGGAGGCTTCCAGAAAGCAATAAAACAATCAATAAATAGACATCAAATGAATGAATTTACTGAACACTTATTGATCAGCTGCTGTAAGTCAGACGTTGTGCTTGGCACTGGGCTTTCAGGAATGTCTTCCAATTCAGGCTCCATCTGCCTAAGCCTATTGTAGTCCTACAAAGCCCACTTTGGTGGGGACTAGGAGATCTCTCCTCTATTCTCTGCTCTTGGGATGTCTGTGTCATGACCCTTCCCCAAATCTGTTTCCCCAGGAAGCCTCTCTGTCTTCTAGAATCCTTTTGTTTCCACCTTCTCCTCCATTGGTCTTTTGATTTCACTAAAAAGTTAACTTTTCAAATGGGTAGTATTAACTCTTAAGAAAGTAGTTATGCCACGAAATGCCTTCCCCCAATTCAGGTACTCACCTATCAGTTCTTAGCAAACCTGTTTCACGGATAATGCCTGGGAATGATTTCGCATGTACCCCACCCTCCATGGACACATGCAACCTCACCCCACCAATCTGGCTAAACTTTTATGTAACAAAGTTGTGAGTTGTATTTCAGTTGCCTCTGTTATATGAAGGTCATGTAACCTGAGCATGCTCAAATAAACCAAGAGTGCAATCACAGGTGGAACCAAAGTGCTTGAGTGGGGCCTAAATTAAAAATAGCACACACCAGGCAAGATCCAGGATCCAATTAGATCCAGCCCTGGCAATATGCCCATTGCAAGATCCAATCAGATCACACCTCATTACCCTATGCTTATAAAATCCAACTCAGCTCCCAGTTTGATTGAGCAAAGAGATTTGAGCATTTTCTTTAGTCTTGTTGGTAGTCAATGTGCAATGAAGGCTGGGGCCATGGTATTGGCTTCTATACACATCAATGGCGAGCCCGTTTATTCTCCCTTATTTTGTACATAAAAGCAGCATACTGTTCTGCACTTTGCATTTCTCACAATTAACTTTGGTGAGGTTTTTATACCCTTTTTGTTTTTACAGCTATTTTCCATTCAAT